GGGGGGTCAGCAAACCTGTTGCCAGCACCCTAAGGAAAATTCAATAATTGTGTGCGCCTGCCTGCGTAGGTGTATCTACAGCCAAAATGTTTTCTGTTTTAGATGTAGTGAGGAAGGATTACAACCTCTGCTCGTTGTGATTTTTCTGGTCAATGACACATCATAAGCCTAACCTTACCAAACTAACCTAGCAAAGGTTAGCCAGCACCTTCAGCTGGGAGTCTACTGAACCTGCTGGTCAACTATCGACTATATGACCGTTGTAGAATAGACCCTCTACAGGTCTCTGAGGTCCCAGTATTGCATCATGGGATGCAATTGAGGGAGAGGAGGGGGAGAATTTGAAGGGTGAACTGAGGCTGCATTTTGAGGAGAGAGTGGTACCTACTGGCACTTGCCAATACCTGCTGTCCTTCTGCCACCCATCAATGTAAACAGCCAATGCCAATGCGGTGTATGTATGTCTATAACTATTGTAGGATGTATCAGGTACCTTGTCTGGCTTTTCACATATCCTGCAGAATGCCAGTGGCATGGGTGTGAATTTTACCAAAGCTTTAAACAGCTAAATAGTTGTCCTCTAGTCCAGCGGTCGCCAACCTTTTGGACCTCGTGGACCACTAAATTCATAATTTTAAATCCCGTGGACCACTAATATGATTAAAAAAATTTAAAATAAATAAATATACACATTTACACACACTCACACACATATGAGAATATATTTATATATGAGGAAACAAAAAGTATGAGAATATATCTATATATACATACAGTATATATATATATATATATATATATACACATACATACATAGGTGCGGGTGTGCCTGAACGAGTGGGAGTGCTAGTGGAGGGAGGGAGCGGTGCCGCCCAGCCCAGTAATAATATTAATTGTTTCCCCCCCTATCGAATCTGCCACTGGCCCTGCCGTAGGCGCCCGGGCACATGCCCTCCCTAGCTTCAGCACTGCCCCCAACCACCCCGTGCCTCCCCTTCCCCCACACTGTGCCACTATTACCTGGCTTCTCCCCACTTTTTCTATGTCCCTGAGCCTGCTCAGTCCGGGTACTGACGAGATGCCCCGCCTTCTGCAGAGCCACGCATTCCTTGTGACAGCCACTGCTTGAGTCAGTGAGAGGCAGCCCTGGAGCCTCCCTGCCGCTTCAATGACGGCCCAGCCTGCACGGCATCAGAGGGGCCCGGGGACCACCAAAATGTTCTCACGGACCACCAGCTCCTCTAGTCCATCCCGGAAAGTTGGGTGGTAATGAGCATTTTTTTTAAATCCCCCAATGAGAGATTTTATCTGTTGCAGAAAGAGTCATACCTGTGAATTCCATGACTGTGAAATCCCACTCCTCCAATTCAACTGTACATGTGAAACTCTTTTATTAAAAGCTTTGGCTGCTGTGCAGGCCCAGAAAGCCAACCTTAGAGATCCCACCACCATTGCCTCCAAGAGATATAAGAAGGCGGGCAGTAGTTTGACGCAACCAAGTCTACCAAAATTTAAAACACTGTACCGATTTTCTGTGGACTGATCCCTTATACAGTAACAGCAACCCCACTGAAAATTGTTATTTTAATTCTGAGTAGGCACTGGTAGGGTCAGTCATGCTCCACCCTGGTCTTTTGTATCTCCTACCTTCTGTAGTTCTGCGTCTCTGCCCCCCAACTACACATTTATTGTTTTATCTCCTTTCAATGCTATTTTACACTCTTGCCGTCAATAAACAGTTTACCTTTTTTTGAGCTAGAGCTTGTCCTCGGTTTCGGGGAACTCCTGTGGGAAGATGGGGGGATCCCCGGCCCTGGAGACATGTGAGGGGCTTCCAATCCTGTTTCCATGCTCAGGTAATGGATCTGTGGGGGTTCTGAGTCACCCTTCAGCCTTTTGGGGTTCAGAAACCCGGCCTGAAGTCTCTCCATACTCTCTGGGAGGCGAAAGGCAGCAAAAGGGTGCAGCGCGCCATAGCCTAGAACACTGACCCCTGGTCGTGGGTGTCCATATTGGTGGGAAAGAGAGAGAAGCTGGGGTGGGCATCCTGAATTCAAATGATCCTGAGTTGGGTAAAGAAGAGGGTATGCTGGACTCAAGTAAGACATTTGTGGAGGTTTGTCCATGGTCATCGGAACAGTGTAACAGGGAGGCTGCTGAACTACTCCGAGTGGACCTTCCGAGGATGTGGCCATGACCAGGAGGGCTTGAGATGTCAACGAGTTCATCAGCCCAGGCGTGCTCTCCATCCTGAGACTCTTCAGCAGACCTAAGAGAGTAATAAAAGGCAATGTCAGTAAAGGAAACCAATAACAAGAAAATACAGGGTCTGCAATTTCTGACCACCTTCTGAAAATGCAAGTTTCCTGGCTGTCTCTGATGTATCCACTTTCTCAATCTCTGACCAACAATGCAAAAGGCAAAGATTTGTATACTTGTTTTGGGTCATTGGCTCCAAAAGTAAGTCTTTAGGTCAACATGAAAGTCAGGCAACTAGTATTTCCAAGTAAGAGCTCTGGAATGGCTGCCTCCATATTGTCCCAGGGGAGGTTGCTTTTAAAAAGACAACAGTTCTAGAGATTAAATCAGGACACGTTAGAGCAAAAGTCTACACAAGGAATCTTCTGTTAAGATGGGTGATATAATAAGGAATAGGGATGTGCTCAGACTGAAGAAAGTCCGAACTTGAGCTCCACCGAACATTGAAGTAATATGGGTACTTCCACCCCATTAGTATGGGCTGGGCATTTCCAGCCCCACAGCTGCGTGTAAACAAAGGGGTGGGATGCTTGTGCTGACGCCCATTACCTTATATGGCCACATAACCATATTAGGTAAATATAAATTACCAATATAGGCCTTGTAGCCATATAAGGTCAATGATGTCACTACATCCCACCCCTTTGCTTACATCATGGAAGGAGCTTGGGAGAAGTTCCTTCCGGGTTCGGAGGACCTCAGGTTCGGACCGTGTATGACCCAAACCTAAGCTTATCCCTAGTGAAGAACTAAATCATGAACAATCTGTCCATATATATAAATCACTAAAATCTATCGTAAACTGTAACATTTTATTGTCATTTCACAAGTTCTTTTCTATCTTTTCATATTTGCAGCTTTAATTAAAATAATCTCTGCCATGAAATTCCTTGTCCACAAACTTCCTGTTATGGGGTGACAATACTCTGTCCCTGCAGGAAATAGGATGTCACCAGCACACCGAACAAATGTGTGAACGTCTTTTATTGATGCATATTGTCACAAAAATAACAATGTTTCGAGGCCACACAGGGTCCCTTCATCAGGTTCAGTATGACCGGGGTTTACCAGTAAGGAGCGAGGTAAGGTAGGACACCTATTGAACACTCTATCCCTGTCTCCCAATTGGGCTCCTGTGTTGTCACCTCATCATAAACGCCCCTGGTGGTGACTACAAATGATCATGCTGATGCTTATTGTGCAGACATGGTCCACCGTTGCCACCAACAGGAAACCAATCAAGAGCGATGATGAGCAGCTGACACGGGAGTCAATGCATGTAGACAGGAAGTGGTTGAAAGAGGGATGAGGAAATCAACGGCACTGAGATATAAAAATAATTAAAAAAAAGGAGAAATTGTTTAATGGAAACAATTGTTTATGATCCACTTTATTGCAACGTTCGAGATTACTCAATGCCATCAGTACAACTGAAAATCCCTTTATATTCACCTCTCCCAGCAACTGCTATACCCCCTCATGGAAGATTCCTTGCTCACAACAACACGTCATGGCTGACAGGCCAGAAACTGTCGCTTGTACCACATTTCCGCCTTTTGTCATCTTTTCTTTTTTTTTTTCACACCATTCCTTTAATTAAAACAGTAACATAGTAAAATGCAGAACGAAACTCGAATCTGAAGTGTCAGCTTTCCCTGGTGGAGACTTATGTCATGCCATTGATAGTGAAAATGTTATCTGTGTATCTTTACCCACACGCTGTACGCCACAGGAAGCCAGGGGGTCACATGACCTGCAAACTGAAAGAGGCATCGCTGTGGTGCGGGGGGAGCGATTACTTTTATCAACAGCTTTGTGGTGGTTGCCTGCTCCGTCAACGATGAACGGCGATCGGCTACATAGTATATTTTCATTACCGTGACACTAAACTCAGGAGTGAAATCATAAAAATACATTCAAGAACCTTAACTATTAACAACAATGGGTGGAAATGATCAAAACTGGAGCAGAGAGAAATTCCAGCAGTTACCCTTGGCAACCAATCAGCTTCTCTCTTGAGTTTGCTCAGGTAAGATTTGAAAATGAGACAGAGAAGCTGATTGGTTGGAGAGCATTTTGTCTGCTCCAGTTTTGATAAATCCCCCCCATTGTATCTTATTTGTGTATCACTCGGCTGTATATCCTCGAATCATCTCTGAATTCGTGCTGACACTGTCCTTCCTTCTGGAGGGGGGCTACTTTTGTTCCCTATGGTCCCTGTGTGTGTTGTAAAGTCACCACTCCGAGCTCACTCCTGTGATGGACTACAATCTTTACAAATGAGTAAACTAAAGGTGAGATTGTAGTCCATTAGGGGAGTGAGCTGAGCGAAGGATATTATTACTCAGTTTTGGATCCTCAAATCATCTCTGAATTGGTGCGGACATTGTCCTTCCTTCTGGTGGGGGGCTACTTTTGTTCCCCATGGTCCCTGTGTGTGTTGTAAAGTAGTCACCACTCCAAGCTCACTCCTGTGATGGACTACAATCTCAATACAAAATAGTAAACAAAACATGAGATTGTAGTTCATCACAGGAGCGAGCTCGGAGCGGTGACTACTTTACAACACACAGAGGGACTATGGGGAACACAAGTAGCCCCCCTCAAGAAGGAAGGACAGTGCCAGCACCAATTCAGAGATGATTGGAGGATCTACAGCCGAGTGACACACAAATAAGATACATTGTTGTTACTAGTTAAAGGAGAACTATGAGGTGAGTGAAAATCACTCATCCTCATAGTACGAGCCGACGTCTGATAATTAAACGGTCACACGTCGGCTCAATAGATCGGAACGTGAGCAAACGCATACCGTGACTCGCTCACTTCTTGATCATGTCTCTTCAGAGTGCCATGACTGTCAGTCACCGCTCCCCGCAGGGATTCCCCCCTCCCCGCTCCAATCCTCCAGCGCTGAGTGGAGGAATGGACGGGGGAGGGGGCGGGAACAGCCGGCTCTGCCTCCTGTCAATCAGCCAGCTGGGTGGATCTCGACAGTATTGTCGGGATCCGTCCCGGCTGCGGCGATCTCGGTAGATAGTGAGCTGCAGCTTGCTATATACTGAGCTTTGGGTCACCTGAGGAGGTTAGAATATGTCCTCCCGTGACCCTAAAGAGAACTATGGCATAAAAAGGTTACCTCATAGTTCTCTTTTAAGGTGCTTGGATGTATTTTTAAGATTTAACTCCTGAGTTTAGTGTCACTTTAAACATAAATAGACATGATTACAGTGTTATGTAATTGTTCTGACATGCTTGCTATACCGTATTGCCTTTATTATTATAAACAGAGTCCCCTAAGCCCTTGTTCACACCTGAACGTTTTATAGTGCGTTCTACGCTCGACGAACGCTCTACAAAACGCTCAAAAATATAAATCCCATTGTATTCAATGGTCTCGTTCCCACCTTGGCGTATTTCCGCACGTCCCTAATGCACTACAAAACGGCCCATCACACGTCGGCTCAATAGATCGGAACGTGAGCAAACGCATACCGTGACTCGCTCACTTCTTGATCATGTCTCTTCAGAGTGCCATGACTGTCAGTCACCGCTCCCCGCAGGGATTCCCCCCTCCCCGCTCCAATCCTCCAGCGCTGAGTGGAGGAATGGACGGGGGAGGGGGCGGGAACAGCCGGCTCTGCCTCCTGTCAATCAGCCAGCTGGGTGGATCTCGACAGTATTGTCGGGATCCGTCCCGGCTGCGGCGATCTCGGTAGATAGTGAGCTGCAGCTTGCTATATACTGAGCTTTGGGTCACCTGAGGAGGTTAGAATATGTCCTCCCGTGACCCTAAAGAGAACTATGGCATAAAAAGGTTACCTCATAGTTCTCTTTTAAGGTGCTTGGATGTATTTTTAAGATTTAACTCCTGAGTTTAGTGTCACTTTAAACATAAATAGACATGATTACAGTGTTATGTAATTGTTCTGACATGCTTGCTATACCGTATTGCCTTTATTATTATAAACAGAGTCCCCTAAGCCCTTGTTCACACCTGAACGTTTTATAGTGCGTTCTACGCTCGACGAACGCTCTACAAAACGCTCAAAAATATAAATCCCATTGTATTCAATGGTCTCGTTCCCACCTTGGCGTATTTCCGCACGTCCCTAATGCACTACAAAACGGCCCACGCCTGAAAAGGTACAGGTACTACTTTGGGCCGTTTTGTTGCGTGTTTCCATTGGGATACAGCCAAGTAGCCTTCGGAAAAGTGCAACGGTCACGCAACTTTTTTACAGCGAATCGCGGTAAAAAAACGCGCGACGGTCGCGCGACAGACACGCATATGCAATACGCCTAGGTGTGAACGAGACCTTAGAGTGCCCTATCTATATTTCAATGCAGTCACACCCCCCATGTTAATCAATTGTTGAGATAAAACCCTGACAATTGTTGTCAGTCAACCAGACCTAATATGAATTTTGGGAGGGGAGCATTAGAGTGCAGGCACTGTGTAATGTGTAGCACATAGAAGAGTACTAAATGGACCAATACAGCAGATCTCTATATATATTATTATACTATACATGGCAGAAAGGTTTTTTAAAAGATTACAATGTGTTTTTGGATTTATTACTCACCTTTTTTACCCATGTGCTACTACGACGCGGTACCATTCATTTTGAAATGCAACGCAATGCACTGGGAGTACCTACGTTGTGCATTACAAAAAAAAAACCAAGGGTCACGCCTGATTTTTCAGCATGTTAGGACGTCTTGACAGGCCATTCATTTCAACGCCTTAGCCCAATGCAAACATGGAAAAGAGGCCCTTAGGGATAAGCGGAACAATTTGGGCGAAATTGACTTGAATTGATTGACATTGATTGAAACTCTCAGTTCCGCTCGTTGAGCTTCTGATGAGAAATTTGTTTTGAAAAGAAAAAAAAAATCCATTCTTTTCTTTGTTTTCTTTATTTAGAGGTTGTGTTTTTTCAATTATTTATTTATGTATTTATTATTTCTTTCTTTCTTTATTTTTATT